TTTCAGACGGTCCGTAAAGGAAAGCAACGCATCCTCTCGTCTCGTCAATGTCAGGTTGCCCACAGATGGGGATTCATGAAAATTGTGCGCCCTTTCTGAGTGCCCTGCATATAGGTGCCGCGTTGTAGAAGGATCCAAACAATGCAAGATCTTTCTGACAAATCCCGAGAGTTGGAAACTTGAGGTGACGGGCGGACTTCTTCTGGTTCAAGCCGGAAGGCCGCACGACCAGGAGCCCGCGGTGATCCATGCCGCTCGGCTGGGAGCGGAACGGCTTCTTGCAAGTTCCACTTTGCATGGCAGGCCTTGGAAGCCCGGTTTCCTGGAGGCAGCATGTAGCAGAAGAAGAAAGACAAGCAGCAAAGCAGTAGCACAGCAGCAGCACCAGCACCAGCACCAGCACAGCAGCAGCAGCAGCAGCAGCAGCAGCAGCAGCAGCAGCAGCAGCAGCAGCAGCAGCAGCAGCAGCAGCAGCAGCAGCAGCAGCAGCAGCAGCAGCAGCAGCAGCAGCAGCAGCAGCAGCAGCAGCAGCAGCAGCAGCAGCAGCAGCAGCAGCAGCACCAGCAGCAGCAGCAGCAGCAGCAGCAGCAGCAGCAGCAGCAGCAGCAGCAGCAGCAGCAGCAGCAGCAGCAGCAGCAGCAGCAGCAGCAGCAGCAGCAGCAGTGGTGTCTCAACAGCAGTGGTCACAACCCCCGAATAGCTAGCAGCTAGCCGTCACCAGCAGCAACAAGGCGAGGAGCTGGTCCTGCAATTGAAGTGCTGGGTTTTGCTGGTTTCGCTCGCTCCGCGTTGAATGACGCAGAGGTTTCAGAACGTAGGGCCCCAAAGTGGAATCCCAAGTGGTCGGATTCCTTGTAAGGATCCCTTCACAGATACCAAGGGACCTCTGTCAATATAGCTTTAAATATGAATATTAATATAAATATAAATATTTTAAGGGGCTGCGCCCATGGGCTGGCAGCGCAGGCAGAAGCTCGAGGAGAGTTGTTCTGCAAACCGGGAAGGGGGTGCCCGCCCGCGCGTGGCCCGCACGAGTGCCCGCCCGGCGTGCGTCCCGATGGGGTCAGCTGTAGGATTTCATAGTCGGAACGCACGGGTTTGGCGACAGAGGGAGAGCTTATGCAAGAGTGGGCCGCCGTGTCATCCAAGGCCAGAGACGCTGATGCTCATGATGGGCACCTGGCATCCCGGACTGGGCCGCTGATGCGCGCTTGGGGCTCCGGAACTCAACCCGCTCATGCTCATGATGCGCTCCCTTTGGGGGACCTTTGGGGGGTGTCCGGGGCTATCCCATTTTGCGCAAAAAAAACCGTTCACCGGCGGCACGGGGTCGGCGGCTCGCCCGTTAAGAAACAGGTCCGCTTACGATGACCACAAGGGCCATGGCGTTGCCCGACCCCCAGCACAAGACTTAGAGGTGGCAGCAGCGGGGGGGGGGGTGGGGGGGTGGCATTGGAGCCTTCACAACACTTCATCTCAAAGTAAGCAGCCCTCCAAACAGCATTTTGGGAGGGTAGCTCGGCAGAAGTAGGTAGAGGCAGCGGGGGACGAAGCATTGGGAAGGGCAGGGGCGCTGGGGTGCGGGTGGGGTGTTGGGGGCACCATATATATATATATATGTATATATAAATGAATATAGAAACCCCCAAGTGTTCCACAAAGTCGCTCTTGTGGTCAGGTCAGTCTATTCCGAATTGCCGGCATCGCAGAAGATTCTCCTTCGGATTTATGACTTGCACCCCGTGTGGAGTCGCGCGCTGGTCCAACAACTGCAAGTCGTCCATGAGATGCAGGGTGGAAGGTTATGCTGAGTCCAGACTTACCTGGCACCCTTAACGTCGTCTTGCAAAATCTTTCCAGCTTTGCTGGTTCATTCCGCTCATGGCCGCGTTGGCTGCTTGAGTTCCTGAAACGTCACCTTCAGAATGAGCACGTTCCTTAGCTGTGACGTTGCGCAACCAGACAGATGTCTTGGACTGAACCCCATGCAAAGTGCACCCGTGGACAAGTTTTCCATGCCAAGGTTCAGGAGAGGTGGGTCAAAGTGCTTGCAGAATTTTCTTCAATCCTTAGCCTTATAATGCTATAATTTCCCCAAAGTACAGGTCAAAAACATCTAAACTCCATCTAGTGATGGACTGTGGCGAAGCCGGAAAGTTGAGCACGGCCCCAAGCGCCAAGAAGAAAAAACCAGTTTGACACATGAGCTTGTGAAAACGGGAGGAGCACCCAAGCTAGAGCTACTGACTGGGTCACGGATGCACAGGTTGTTGGTCGGAGCTCCGTCACACTAGAGCTGCTAGAGCTGCCATGAAAGCACAGGCTCTGCCATCATGGCGCGGAGCCATGCGGAGCCTGAGGTCAGTTAGCCAACCACGGACCCTGGTCCCCGGGCCACGGCGTCGATGAAAGCTTCAAGTGTGTTTCGATGACAAAATGCTTCATGATCGAGTATACTGGCCGTTTGGGGTTAGTACGCCGTGCCCTTCCCCATCAGGGAATTGGCGTCATGTGGGGCAGTGTGGACACAAGCATCTTCTTCGCTCGATTGCCTCAGTGTTGCCAGACCCTTGCGGGAGCATCGAACTACTGACGGTGCAATGCGTGCGGCAGGTCACGACAGCTTCAGCATGTTCCAAAGCAATGAGCTCACCTTTCTCCGTCGTGGCACTGGGCAGTAAGACGTTCTTGTACTGCTACTGTTGCTCGGACTCGGGGCACAGGGCCCAGCTAAAGAAGCGCTTTTTTACTGCATAACCAGGCCCTGATCGTGTAGACAGGTAGACCAATCTCTCACCGAGCCAGTTCATGTCGCCGCGCCCAGGCCAGTGAGTCTGGCAACTCCTGGGTCAAGCCAGGGATGTTCCTGAGGCCGTGTCCCACAGCCGAATCCCGAAGGTGCAAATTCGCAATGTGCAGCGAGTGCTTTGGCTGGGCACTGCTGCGATGGTCCAACTGGCGTTAGATCCCCGGCTGCGCTGTGACGCTGTGCAAGAGGTTCTGGCGTGGGCAGTGTGAGTTGCAAGCTTTGGAAACGGATGGGCCTGGATGGGTGAATCCTTGATGTCTGACGATGAGTACATGAGCGTCCGGTAGCATTGAGTACTTCAAACAGACTTGAGAAGACGTCTTGTCTCCACAGGGTGCCTTCCAGTTGGGTTTTGTAGGCCGGTGACCTTGCGAAGATTGGCCCTTCGAAAAGGAAAGCAAGCGTCCCGCCCAAGGAGTTGCTTTGGCAGATCAGGCGCAGATGTTTTGCGCAGGCATGGCACAAGGCACGCTACGCTGAAAAGTGGCCTCCACGCAAGTGCACTGCCACGCTTCCATACGCACACAGAACTTCACAGAACTGTCTCATTGATGTCAGCCAACGTTCTTCCCTTGTGATCAGCACCAAAGCTGCACCAGACGACAGCCTGCAGTAAGAGGTGGTGGAGTGCACAGTGTCAGCCGATGTGGGTGACCGTGACTGGTGCATTTCACGGGCTTTCGCTGTGGTTGCCGCGAAAACACAGATGCCGGAGCTTGAGTGACCTGACTCTGATGCCATGAAGGTTCACGCACCACCGAAGCTGACGTGCCGGCCAGCCAGGCAAACAGCGCACTGCAGCTTCGAAAGTGCGCAAGGTGTACAGGAGGGGCAACGGCATGAGCATTGTCCGTCCGGACACTTCTTCGAATGCTGATTGCCACGACTCTGCAGAGATCCCAGCTTCATAGAGCATGTATGAGACGTCGAAGCCCTTGCCGATAGCGGCGGCCACATCAGGTGGGAACGGATGGGACAAGGCAAACAATCTGTGCCGAGGCTGCTTGCTAGCGAGGCACGACCCAGGTCTGATCACAAAGAGAACCGGATTACTGCTGGGGAAGGCCCGTCAGAAAAGGAATCTCATCAGCGAGTTGCAACCAGATCGCCAACTCAACTCTCGCACGTCAGGAAAGCCAAGCCCTTGGGAAGAAGCTGGGCAAAAACCCAAGTACCACAAATTGTTGGACGTTGGGCGTGTTCTGGCGTGTTGTGCCTTGCGGCAGCAGCCTGAAGCGCACAGTGCGCTCTGTCCGGCATGGACAAGAACGTGAATCTGGTGCCGTAGCAACGGCGAAATTCACGCTTTCGCTCAGCTTGCACAGCCACAGATGACACGTTCTGTGCTGCTGCTGTCTTGGTAGCGCTCACCCGCGCGCAGCCAGGGGTGTGGCCAGGGGTGTGGCCAGGCTGTTCATTGTAGTGCTGGCTGGCAAGGCAGTTTGCCAGCAGCTTTCGCTTGCTGTCACGTAACGCTCGCGCCACCTCGCAGATCTCTAGCCATAGCGGAAGGCCGTCCTGCATGTTCGCTTGTTGCCACGTTCATTTGATGGTGTTTGGAGCCATCGCATGTTTGCACCACTCTTGACTCAGGCGACTTGCACCAAGGCGTGCAGGAACATCTTTGTGGAGCGCACGCTCGCGTATCAGAAGTGCGCCAGCCGTCCTGGGACCTTTCCGCATGACGCCACTTCTTTCCTCCAGGGGTTTTGTTGTGGAGATGTGACTTCGCGCCGACAAACGTAAGTTGACGTGGCCCCTCGCATCTGACAGGTGCGCCGCCGCTTGTCACAACACCGAAGTTGGACCGCTCAAGACGAAGGCCCATCAGAAAAGGAATCTCATCAGCGATTTGCAACCAGATCGCCAACGCAATTCTCGCGTGTCAAGGATTCCAAGCCCTTAATTGGGTAGAAGCTGGGCAAACGCCCAGGTCCTACAAATTGTTGGACGTCGGGCGTGTTCTGGCGTGTTGTGCCCTGCGGCAGCAGCGTAAAGCGCACAGTGCGCTCTGTCCGGCATGGACAAGAACGTGAATCCGGTGCCGTAGCATCGGCGAAATGCATGCTTTCGCTCAGCTTGAACAGCCACAGATGATACGGTCCGTGCTGCCGCTTTCTTGGTAGCACTTACTCGCGCGCAGCCAGGGGATCCAGGGGTGCGGCATCAGAGTGACCCTGACTGGTGCATTTCACGGGCTTTCGCTGTGGTTGCCGCGAAAACACAGATGCCCGAGATTGAGTGACCTGACTCTGATGCCATGAAGGTTCACGCACCACCGAAGCTGACGTGCCGGCCAGCCAGGCAAACAGCGCACTGCAGCTTCGAAAGTGTGCAAGGTGTACAGGAGGGGCAACGGCATGAGCATTGTCCGTCCGGACACTTCTTCGAATGCTGATTGCCACGACTCTGCAGAGATCCCAGCTTCATAGAGCATGTATGAGACGTCGAAGCCCTTGCCGATAGCGGCGGCCACATCAGGTGGGAACGGATGGGACAAGGCAAACAATCTGTGCCGAGGCTGCTTGCTAGCGAGGCACGACCCAGGTCTGATCACAAAGAGAACCGGATTACTGCTGGGGAAGGCCTGTCAGAAAAGGAATCTCATCAGCGAGTTGCAACCAGATCGCCAACTCAACTCTCGCATGTCAGGAAAGCCAAGCCCTTGGGAAGAAGCTGGGCAAAAACCCAAGTACCACAAATTGTTGGACGTTGGGCGTGTTCTGGCGTGTTGTGCCTTACGGCAGCAGCCTGAAGCGCACAGTGCGCTCTGTCCGGCATGGACAAGAACGTGAATCCGGTGCCGTAGCAACGGCGAAATTCATGCTTTCGCTCGGCTTGCACAGCCACAGATGACACGTTCTGTGCTGCTGCTGTCTTGGTAGCGCTCACCCGCGCGCAGCCAGGGGTGTGGCCAGGGGTGTGGCCAGGCTGTTCATTGTAGTGCTGGCTGGCAAGGCAGTTTGCCAGCAGCTTTCGCCTGCTGTCACGTAACGCTCGCGCCACCTCGCAGATCTCTAGCCATAGCGGAAGGCCGTCCTGCATGTTCGCTTGTTGCCACGTTCGTTTGATGGTGTTTGGAGCCATCGCATGTTTGCACCACTCTTGACTCAGGCGACTTGCACCAAGGCGTGCAGGAACATCTTTGTGGAGCGCACGCTCGCGTATCAGAAGTGCGCCAGCCGTCCTGGGACTTTTCCGCATGACGCCACTTCTTTCCTCCAGGGGTTTTGTTGTGGAGATGTGACTTCGCACCGACAAAGGTGAGTTGACGTGGCCCCTCGCATCTGACAGGTGCGACGCCGCTTGTCACAACACCGAAGTTGGACCGCTCAAGACGAAGGCCCATCAGAAAAGGAATCTCATCAGCGATTTGCAACCAGATCGCCAACGCAATTCTCGCGTGTCAAGGATTCCAAGTCCTTACTTGGGTAGAAGCTGGGCAAACGCCCAGGTTCTACAAATTGTTGGACGTCGGGCGTGTTCTGGCGTGTTGTGCCCTGCGGCAGCAGCGTAAAGCGCACAGTGCGCTCTGTCCGGCATGGACAAGAACGTGAATCCGGTGCCGTAGCATCGGCGAAATGCATGCTTTCGCTCAGCTTGAACAGCCACAGATGATACGGTCCGTGCTGCCGCTTTCTTGGTAGCACTTACTCGCGCGCAGCCAGGGGATCCAGGGGTGCGGCATCAGAGTGACCCTGACTGGTGCATTTCACGGGCTTTCGCTGTGGTTGCCGCGAAAACACAGATGCCCGAGATTGAGTGACCTGACTCTGATGCCATGAAGGTTCACGCACCACCGAAGCTGACGTGCCGGCCAGCCAGGCAAACAGCGCACTGCAGCTTCGAAAGTGTGCAAGGTGTACAGGAGGGGCAACGGCATGAGCATTGTCCGTCCGGACACTTCTTCGAATGCTGATTGCCACGACTCTGCAGAGATCCCAGCTTCATTGAGCATGTATGAGACGTCGAAGCCCTTGCCGATAGCGGCGGCCACATCAGGTGGGAACGGATGGGACAAGGCAAACAATCTGTGCCGAGGCTGCTTGCTAGCGAGGCACGACCCAGGTCTGATCACAAAGAGAACCGGATTACTGCTGGGGAAGGCCCGTCAGAAAAGGAATCTCATCAGCGAGTTGCAACCAGATCGCCAACTCAACTCTCGCATGTCAGGAAAGCCAAGCCCTTGGGAAGAAGCTGGGCAAAAACCCAAGTACCACAAATTGTTGGACGTTGGGCGTGTTCTGGCGTGTTGTGCCTTGCGGCAGCAGCCTGAAGCGCACAGTGCGCTCTGTCCGGCATGGACAAGAACGTGAATCCGGTGCCGTAGCAACGGCGAAATTCATGCTTTCGCTCGGCTTGCACAGCCACAGATGACACGTTCTGTGCTGCTGCTGTCTTGGTAGCGCTCACCCGCGCGCAGCCAGGGGTGTGGCCAGGGGTGTGGCCAGGCTGTTCATTGTAGTGCTGGCTGGCAAGGCAGTTTGCCAGCAGCTTTCGCCTGCTGTCACGTAACGCTCGCGCCACCTCGCAGATCTCTAGCCATAGCGGAAGGCCGTCCTGCATGTTCGCTTGTTGCCACGTTCATTTGATGGTGTTTGGAGCCATCGCATGTTTGCACCACTCTTGACTCAGGCGACTTGCACCAAGGCGTGCAGGAACATCTTTGTGGAGCGCACGCTCGCGTATCAGAAGTGCGCCAGCCGTCCTGGGACTTTTCCGCATGACGCCACTTCTTTCCTCCAGGGGTTTTGTTGTGGAGATGTGACTTCGCACCGACAAACGTGAGTTGACGTGGCCCCTCGCATCTGACAGGTGCGCCGCCACTTGTCACAACACCGAAGTTGGACCGCTCAAGACGAAGGCCCATCAGAAAAGGAATCTCATCAGCGATTTGCAACCAGATCGCCAACGCAACTCTCGCGTGTCAAGGATTCCAAGTCCTTACTTGGGTAGAAGCTGGGCAAACGCCCAGGTTCTACAAATTGTTGGACGTCGGGCGTGTTCTGGCGTGTTGTGCCCTGCGGCAGCAGCGTAAAGCGCACAGTGCGCTCTGTCCGGCATGGACAAGAACGTGAATCCGGTGCCGTAGCATCGGCGAAATGCATGCTTTCGCTCAGCTTGAACAGCCACAGATGATACGGTCCGTGCTGCCGCTTTCTTGGTAGCACTTACTCGCGCGCAGCCAGGGGATCCAGGGGTGCGGCATCAGAGTGACCCTGACTGGTGCATTTCACGGGCTTTCGCTGTGGTTGCCGCGAAAACACAGATGCCCGAGATTGAGTGACCTGACTCTGATGCCATGAAGGTTCACGCACCACCGAAGCTGACGTGCCGGCCAGCCAGGCAAACAGCGCACTGCAGCTTCGAAAGTGTGCAAGGTGTACAGGAGGGGCAACGGCATGAGCATTGTCCGTCCGGACACTTCTTCGAATGCTGATTGCCACGACTCTGCAGAGATCCCAGCTTCATTAAGCATATATGAGAAGTTAGTGTTGCCACAGAAGGTGAGAACGGATGGGACAAGGCAAACAATCTGTGCCGAGGCTGCTTGCTAGCGAGGCACGACCCAGGTCTGATCACAAAGAGAACCGGATTACTGCTGGGGAAGGCCCGTCAGAAAAGGAATCTCATCAGCGAGTTGCAACCAGATCGCCAACTCAACTCTCGCATGTCAGGAAAGCCAAGCCCTTGGGAAGAAGCTGGGCAAACACCCAAGTACCACAAATTGTTGGACGTTGGGCGTGTTCTGGCGTGTTGTGCCTTGCGGCAGCAGCCTGAAGCGCACAGTGCGCTCTGTCCGGCATGGACAAGAACGTGAATCCGGTGCCGTAGCATCGGCGAAATGCATGCTTTCGCTCAGCTTGCACAGCCACAGATGACACGTTCTGTGCTGCTGCTGTCTTGGTAGCGCTCACCCGCGCGCAGCCAGGGGTGTGGCCAGGGGTGTGGCCAGGCTGTTCATTGTAGTGCTGGCTGGCAAGGCAGTTTGCCAGCAGCTTTCGCCTGCTGTCACGTAACGCTCGCGCCACCTCGCAGATCTCTAGCCATAGCGGAAGGCCGTCCTGCATGTTCGCTTGTTGCCACGTTCATTTGATGGTGTTTGGAGCCATCGCATGTTTGCACCACTCTTGACTCAGGCGACTGGCGCCAAGGCGTGCAGGAACATCATTTTTGAGCGCACGCTCGCGTATCAGAAGTGCGCCAGCCGTCCTGGGACTTTTCCGCATGACGCCACTTCTTTCCTCCAGGGGTTTTGTTGTGGAGATGTGACTTCGCGCCGACAAACGTGAGTTGACGTGGCCCCTCGCATCTGACAGGTGCGCCGCCGCTTGTCACAACACCGAAGTTGGACCGCTCAAGACGAAGGCCCATCAGAAAAGGAATCTCATCAGCGATTTGCAACCAGATCGCCAACGCAATTCTCGCGTGTCAAGGATTCCAAGCCCTTAATTGGGTAGAAGCTGGGCAAACGCCCAGGTCCTACAAATTGTTGGACGTCGGGCGTGTTCTGGCGTGTTGTGCCCTGCGGCAGCAGCGTGAAGCGCACAGTGCGCTCTGTCCGGCATGGACAAGAACGTGAATCCGGTGCCGTAGCAACGGCGAAATGCATGCTTTCGCTCAGCTTGAACAGCCACAGATGATACGGTCCGTGCTGCCGCTTTCTTGGTAGCACTTACTCGCGCGCAGCCAGGGGATCCAGGGGTGCGGCATCAGAGTGACCCTGACTGGTGCATTTCACGGGCTTTCGCTGTGGTTGCCGCGAAAACACAGATGCCCGAGATTGAGTGACCTGACTCTGATGCCATGAAGGTTCACGCACCACCGAAGCTGACGTGCCGGCCAGCCAGGCAAACAGCGCACTGCAGCTTCGAAAGTGCGCAAGGTGTACAGGAGGGGCAACCGCATGAGCATTGTCCGTCCGGACACTTCTTCGAATGCTGATTGCCACGACTCTGCAGAGATCCCAGCTTCATTGAGCATGTATGAGACGTCGAAGCCCTTGCCGATAGCGGCGGCCACATCAGGTGGGAACGGATGGGACAAGGCAAACAATCTGTGCCGAGGCTGCTTGCTAGCGAGGCACGACCCAGGTCTGATCACAAAGAGAACCGGGTTACTGCTGGGGAAGGCCCGTCAGAAAAGGAATCTCATCAGCGAGTTGCAACCAGATCGCCAACTCAACTCTCGCATGTCAGGAAAGCCAAGCCCTTGGGAAGAAGCTGGGCAAAAACCCAAGTACCACAAATTGTTGGACGTTGGGCGTGTTCTGGCGTGTTGTGCCTTGCGGCAGCAGCCTGAAGCGCACAGTGCGCTCTGTCCGGCATGGACAAGAACGTGAATCCGGTGCCGTAGCAACGGCGAAATTCATGCTTTCGCTCGGCTTGCACAGCCACAGATGACACGTTCTGTGCTGCTGCTGTCTTGGTAGCGCTCACCCGCGCGCAGCCAGGGGTGTGGCCAGGGGTGTGGCCAGGCTGTTCATTGTAGTGCTGGCTGGCAAGGCAGTTTGCCAGCAGCTTAAGCCTGCTGTCACGTAACGCTCGCGCCACCTCGCAGATCTCTAGCCATAGCGGAAGGCCGTCCTGCATGTTCGCTTGTTGCCACGTTCATTTGATGGTGCCTGGAGCCATCGCATGTTTGCATCACTCTTGACTCAGGCGACTTGCACCAAGGCGTGCAGGAACATCTTTGTGGAGCGCACGCTCGCGTATCAGAAGTGCACCAGCCGTCCTGGGACTTTTCCGCATGACGCCACTTCTTTCCTCCAGGGGTTTTGTTGTGGAGATGTGACTTCGCACCGACAAACGTGAGTTGACGTGGCCCCTCGCATCTGACAGGTGCGCCGCCGCTTGTCACAACACCGAAGTTGGACCGCTCAAGACGAAGGCCCATCAGAAAAGGAATCTCATCAGCGATTTGCAACCAGATCGCCAACGCAATTCTCGCGTGTCAAGGATTCCAAGTCCTTACTTGGGTAGAAGCTGGGCAAACGCCCAGGTTCTACAAATTGTTGGACGTCGGGCGTGTTCTGGCGTGTTGTGCCCTGCGGCAGCAGCGTAAAGCGCACAGTGCGCTCTGTCCGGCATGGACAAGAACGTGAATCCGGTGCCGTAGCATCGGCGAAATGCATGCTTTCGCTCAGCTTGAACAGCCACAGATGATACGGTCCGTGCTGCCGCTTTCTTGGTAGCACTTACTCGCGCGCAGCCAGGGGATCCAGGCGTGCGGCATCAGAGTGACCCTGACTGGTGCATTTCACGGGCTTTCGCTGTGGTTGCCGCGAAAACACAGATGCCCGAGATTGAGTGACCTGACTCTGATGCCATGAAGGTTCACGCACCACCGAAGCTGACGTGCCGGCCAGCCAGGCAAACAGCGCACTGCAGCTTCGAAAGTGCGCAAGGTGTACAGGAGGGGCAACCGCATGAGCATTGTCCGTCCGGACACTTCTTCGAATGCTGATTGCCACGACTCTGCAGAGATCCCAGCTTCATTGAGCATGTATGAGACGTCGAAGCCCTTGCCGATAGCGGCGGCCACATCAGGTGGGAACGGATGGGACAAGGCAAACAATCTGTGCCGAGGCTGCTTGCTAGCGAGGCACGACCCAGGTCTGATCACAAAGAGAACCGGATTACTGCTGGGGAAGGCCCGTCAGAAAAGGAATCTCATCAGCGAGTTGCAACCAGATCGCCAACTCAACTCTCGCATGTCAGGAAAGCCAAGCCCTTGGGAAGAAGCTGGGCAAAAACCCAAGTACCACAAATTGTTGGACGTTGGGCGTGTTCTGGCGTGTTGTGCCTTGCGGCAGCAGCCTGAAGCGCACAGTGCGCTCTGTCCGGCATGGACAAGAACGTGAATCCGGTGCCGTAGCATCGGCGAAATGCATGCTTTCGCTCAGCTTGCACAGCCACAGATGACACGTTCCGTGCTGCCGCTTTCTTGGTAGCGCTTACCCGCGCGCAGCCAGGGGTGTGGCCAGGCTGTTCATATGGCTGGCAAGGCAGTTTGCCAGCAGCTGTCGCCTGCTGTCACGTATCGCTCTCGCCGCCTCGCAGATCTCTAGCCATACTAGTAGCAGAAGGCCGTCCTGTATGTGCGCTTGTTGCCATGTTCATTTGATGGTGCCTGGAGCCATCGCATGTTTGCACCACTCTTGACTCAGGCGACATCTTTGTGGAGCGCGCGCTCGCGTGTCAGAAGTGCGCCAGCCGTCCTGGGACTTTTCCGCGTGACGCCACTTCTTTCCTCCAGGGGTTTTGTTGTGGAGATGTGACTTTGCGCCGACAAACGTGAGTTGACGTGGCCCCTCGCAGCTGACAGGTGCGCCGCCGCTTGTCACAACGCCGAAGTTGGACTGCTCAAGACGAAGGCCCGTCAGAAAAGGAATCTCATCAGCGATTTGCAACCAGATCGCCGTCAGGGAAACCAAGGGTAGAAGCTGGGCACCTGCCCGAGTAGTACAGGGTGTTGGACGTTGGGTCGTGTTGCGCCTCGCGGCACCGCTGAGCGCGTGTTGCGCGCTGTCCTTTGCCATGGGTTTCCAGCTACGAAGTCCCTCGGCGCTTGTAAGCATTTGTGCGAAACCTGCCACTGGAAGCTTTTGGCGTGAGACAAGGGGTTTGCTCTAGGTGTTGTGCTTGATCGTTACGGCGGCGCCTGAGACTCAAAACCTCAGGCCAAGCCGATGCTTGTTAGTAAAAATATAGAAGTTGTGGGGCGTAGTGGAGACCACTTGAGTCTCATGCCTCATTTAGGGTACCGTTGGCTCCCAGATTCTTGTTGCCTGACGCGATTGCCCTTCGACTGCCGTGCTGGGACTTGCCACCATACCGTGGCACAGGCGAACAACTTGTTGGCGTGTTGCTGGCTCGATCCGAGAAGGGGTTCTTGTGGGCATATGGTGTGGACATATCGTGCCCCAGCATCGCTGACTCTGAGAGGTGCTTGCAGTGCTTGCACTTACAGATGATGCGTGCTGTGCTGCCGCTTTCTTGGTAGCGCTCACCCGCACGCAGCCAGGGGTGTGGCCAGGCTGTTCATATGGCTGGCAAGGCAGTTTGCCAGCAGCTGTCGCCTGCTGTCACGTAACGCTCTCGCCGCCTCGCAGATCTCTAGCCATTCTCGTAGCAGAAGGCCGTCCTGTATGTGCGCTTGTTGCCATGTTCATTTGATGGTGCCTGGAGCCATCGCATGTTTGCACCACTCTTGACTCAGGCGACATCTTTGTGGAGCGCGCGCTCGCGTGTCAGAAGTGCGCCAGCCGTCCTGGGACTTTTCCGTGTGACGCCTCTTCTGTCCTCCAGGGGTTTTGTTGTGGAGATGTGACTTTGCGCCGACAAACGTGAGTTGACGTGGCCCCTCGCAGCTGACAGGTGCGCCGCCGCTTGTCACAACGCCGAAGTTGGACCGCTCAAGACGAAGGCCCGTCAGAAAAGGAATCTCATCAGCGATTTGCAACCAGATCGCCGTCAGGGAAACCAAGGGTAGAAGCTGGGCACCTATGGCACCTGCCCGAGTAGTACAGGGTGTTGGACGTTGGGTCGTGTTGCGCCTCGCGGCACCGCTGAGCGCGTGCTGCGCGCTGTCCTTTGCCATGGGTTTCCAGCTACGAAGTCGAAGTCCCTCGGCGCTTGTAAGCGTTTGTGCGAAACCTGCCACTGGAAGCTTTTGGCGTGAGACAAGGGGTTTGCTCTAGGTGTTGTGCTTGATCGTTACGGCGGCGCCTGAGACTCAAAACCTCAGGCCAAGCCGATGCTTGTTAGTAAAAACATAGAAGTTGTGGGGCGTCGTGGAGACCACTTGAGTCTCATGCCTCATTTAGGGTACCGTTGGCTCCCAGATTCTTGTTGCCTGACGCGATTGCCCTTCGACTGCCGTGCTGGGACTTGCCACCATACCGTGGCACAGGCGAACAACTTGTTGGCGTGTTGCTGGCTCGATCCGAGAAGGGGTTCTTGTGGGCATATGGTGTGGACATATCGTGCCCCAGCATCGCTGACTCTGAGAGGTGCTTGCAGTGCTTGCACTTACAGATGATGCGTGCTGTGCTGCCGCTTTCTTGGTA